CGCCACCACCGGCAGCATCGGCAGCAGCAGCGCCAGCCGGCAGCGCGTTTTATGGGCGGTGGTGGCGGTGGATATCATGACTATCAAGCTGTGATGAGGCAGACTCAGCATATGCATCAGCAACATTCATGGCCGCAGCCGCAGCCGGTGTCGCAGCAGCAGCAATTCGCTGGTCATCCATCTCCGAGGCCAAATTTGACGGGAATGGCACAGGCACCACAGCATGCTCAACGTATGATGCAATCGCAACAGTCGCAGGCTTCAGACCACATGCTGCAGAGAATGTACCAACAGCAACAGATGCAGCAACAACAGGCGCCTCAACAAATTCTTCGATCGCCGCAAATTCACCAACAGCGCGTATCTCCGCAGCCGAGAGTCTCGCCGCTGTTGCCGTCGCAAATGCAGAGGAAGCATTCACTACAGGGACAAACGGGGCAGCAGGCGATGCAATCTCCAATACAACAGCAGTTGCAACACCAATTTCAGTCGCCGCCGCCGCCGCGGATGAAATCTAGTACCCCCGTGCAAAACCAGATGCTTCTCCAACAACCTCCAACACAGTCACAAACACCACCACAACCACAGCATCAACGACTTGAGCCCACGCCTACTCCTCCGCCTCCGCCGCCCCCTCCCCCCCAAGAAGCTGCTCCGGAACCCGTACAAGAGGTACAAGAGCCGCCGCCTACACCTATACCCGAGCCCGAGCCCGAGCCTGAGCCTGAGCCCGCTCCCGCGCCAATACCTGATGTACCGGTAGATGAGCCTCCTCTGCCTCCTGCAATTCAAGAACCCATCAACTTTGTCAACCCATTAGATATATTTAACGCGCCACCGCCTCCTCCATTACCATCCCTCCCCATGGGCGACCCCAACAGCTGGGGTAAGAAGGAACCCGACCCAGAGCCCGTGGAAGATTCTATCACCGTCAAGCCGTCCGAACCAGCTGTCAGCGCGAAATCGTCCCCAGTGCAAGAGTCAATCACAGTGAACACTACTGCGGTCAAACCAGAAATTAAGCCGGAAATCAAGCAAGAACCAAAATATGAACCCATGCGCATCAAGTCTAGTCCGCACTCGTCTGTTACCAATTCTCCCGCCCTCTCTACAAAATCTCCAAGCATTACCAAGCGATCACCAGCACCAAAACCTCGCGTCAACACGATTCCCATAATGGTCGCGATAGCTGAAGAGTGTCTCGAAAAAGCCCGCAGTTCCGTACACGACGTGGCCATGTCCCTTGACCCTGAGAGGGTAGACGAATATCAAAAGTTGATAGCCACGAGCCTGTCATGTCTGGAAGCAGTCATGCAAAACAACAAGCTTGCGCCAAGAGAAGAGGCTCGATTGCGAATGAGATACGCGGCTATTTTGCACGAGGATGCGGAGAATTTGATGGAAGCGGAGACGGCCCTCGGGAAGGGTATCAGCCTCTGTGACAAGGTAGGCTAACAGAAAACTCGGGGTGGGTTGAGAATTTGCTAACAGTTGAAGCACCGCCTAATCGACTTGAAATACTGTATGCAGTATCTAATGCTGAAGGTTCTGTTTCAACGCAATCACAAGGCGGCCCTGAAAGCGGTTGACGGTCACATATCTGACTGCGAAGCGTAAGAAAAATTGGCTGATGTCATGTTGGCAAACGCTAACACTTTCCAGATTTAAACATGTGCAATGGTACTACGCCTTTCGTCTGCTGAAGTCAACATTTTATATGGCCATGGGAAGCGCCTCAGATGCCGCTGCGCTGGAAAATATCCGAGCCGTCCAAAATGTTGCCACGTCCAGAGGCGACAACGCTATGACCGTTTTTGCATCAATATTGGAAGGGCTGGCACTCCTTAAGACTTCTAAGGACAGCAACATTGAGCGTGTGCAGTCGTGTATTGCTCAAGCAGCCAAGTTTCAATTCGATCCGACTGTCAAGATTATGCACCTAGAAATGTTGATTCTGGTCTTGGACTTTGCGTCTAGTTTATACCGTCAAAGTCCCGACATGACGGCCCAGAAACTCCGATCGCTGCAGCAAAGATTAGACGAGTGTGAGGAATGGAACAATGTCAAGGCGGATTTCCTGATTCCTGTCAAGAAGCAGCCTTCAAATACCCGTACTGTTAGCGAGGAAACGTCAGCTATCATTCGTTTGGCAGGCGAGGCTGACGGAGAGTTTGACTATATTGTAATGTCGTTTATGACTAAAGTGGAGCTGCGATCGCTTGTGTACGTTCCAAGAATCCAGAAGATGCGCATCATTTGCTAACTTGATTCTGTAGATTTACGTTCAGTGGACTGGCAAACATGCACAAACCTTCGTCGCAAGGGCGACGCTCTACCGAGTTTTGGCTAGAAGGCGCAAAGATTCTTGACACCTGTGAGCAGGAGCCGAAATGCTTTATTTGGTGCCTGGCCAAAGCTAACAATGTCACAGGGGACAGCTCAACCGCTGGTATTCCGTATGGACCTTCTGTGTCGTTGTCGACGGCCATTCGACAACGATCATGGCGAACAGAAGCCCAAGCTTATCTTAATGTACTACTAGGTCTCCTGGCAGCAAGCCACTGTCAATGGGACAGAGTGAAGCAATTCATGGAAAAACTCGACACTCTAATCACACCATCTACACAGCCCACAATAGGGCTACTCTCCACCTATCTAACCGGCGTGTATCGCCAAGGAACGGGCAACCTCGAGGCTGCTCTGACCATCTTCCTCGAGGGACGGTTCGATATACCCCAAACATCAGGCGGCGGTAAAGCTGGCCAGCAGGAAATTGCTCTCCTTGCCGGTCTGAACCGCCTGTGGATCATGCAGCACCCCAGTTGCAGAAACGACTATCAGACGCACGAGCTGATTGAGCAACTGCAGCCATTCTGCTCAAATCACTGGAACATAGATTTGCGCACTGCATGGCACAATGTCGTTGCGGCGCTGGAAACAGATCCTCCACAACAGCTGAACCAGCAGAAGCAGCACATCCAGGCGGCCATGTCCGGATCCAAGGTGACTAACAACATCTTGGGAGCGGCGGTCACGCTATGCATCATGCGAAGCCGGTTCTTCGAAAACGTCATTGGGGAGCAGGCGCTGAAGAGTGCGCGTGCGGCGTCGAAACAAGCCCAAAGGAGCGGCAACATGTTGTGGCAGAGCGTCGCGGACGGCATGCTCGCGCAGTCGTACGAGGTCCAGGGCCACAGAGACGAATCCATTCAAGAGTGGGAGAAGGGTACAAAGGAGGCCAAGGATGCATTTGCAGGGAGTTGGTGAGGGGAATCGTTATTGCTGTTGTGTTGCTGTTTTTTTGTCTTGTTTTTCGCATTGAAGGACTCGGGCGTTTTGTTGTTTTGTATTTTTTTTAAAGACTTTCAACCTGTCACTTGTTTTGCTTTGTCTTGTCGAGTTTGGCAAGTAGGCTGCATGGCGGGAGAAAGGGATAACAGTCTTGTTTGGCGCTGGATTTGTAAGATACCTAACGTCCATTAAGGGCCCTGCCTGTATGGTTCACTAACATAGACGTGGAAACAATGAAAAAATGTCTGTCTTGATTAGGCTTTTGGTTCGTTCCGTTTCATGCCCTTTAGAGGTATCTGACCCTTTCCCTTGATCTAATTACATAAATGAGCCGCTAGTATTACAAAAAAAAAACTGGTGATATACAAATTCATTTTCTTTTTTCTCCTTCTCTCCTAGTTCAGCGACGTCCGAAGCCTGGAGGAGGTTGGAATCCGGGCGGTGGCATGAACCCAGGTGGCCCTGCTCCTGGCGGTCCTTGCTGTCCCGGGACTCCTGGTGGTGCGGCTGGGAAGCCAGGAGGTGGTGCCACGGGGTATCCTGGGGGGGTTGGTGATCCGGAGGGGGGTCGGAATGCGCCGGGGTGAAAGTCGGCAGGGTTGGTGTAGTTCTGACTCTGCGGCGGCCGAGCCGGGGGTCCTGTGGTGGGCGGGGGAGGCAGGGGAACCGACGATCGAGCTTGAGAATGAGGAGGGTTTGCGCTGAAAGGAGGGTTGCGGTGGAAGGTTGGCGGCAGCGGCGGGGGCGGCGCGTGGTGATGCGCCGCGATTGGAGGCATCGCATGGCCGCCCAACCCGGCGGGCGGAGGTGGAATCATGACTGGGTCGAAACCGGCGGGAACAGGCGGCTGCTGACCGCCCTGTGGTGGTTGATGCTGTTGATGCTGTTGCTGTTGCTGCTGCTGAGGCGGCGGCGGCGGCGGGGGGCGGGGGCTCTGGTCGTGCGTCACAAACGCCGGCAGGGCCTGGGCCTCGGGCACAATGTTGCGCTTCTTGGCCTGCTTCGCCAGCTCTCTCTCGGCCTCGTCGCCGTGGCGCTCCCCCTTGCCGTCCTTCTTGAAGGCGTACTGCACGCTGACCTCCTTGCTGAGCATGTACTGCCCGTCCAGGTTCGCGACGGCGGCGTCGCTGCTCTCAAAGTCGCCGAAGCTGACGAAGCCGAAGCCCTTGCTCATGCCGCTGTCGTCCCTGGCCACCTTGGGCAGGCTCAGTAGCGGCCCGAAGCGGGAGAAGGTGTCGTAGAGGAGCTTCTCGTCCACCATGGGATCGAGGTTGCCGATGAAGAGCACGGCGCCAATGTCAGCGCCCTTTTGATTGTCGGC